GAGAAATACGTGCCATGTGTTGACTCTCCAACACGTTACGTAGATATCAGAGATGAGGATGTTGAGTACGGAAGTTTACTACTTTGAATGTTCTCTCGTCATTACGTAATTTTCATTGACTTGCCGTGTAAGTATGTACATACCGCATAACAACATGCTTTTGATGTACGAGCCGATTTATTGCTTCTCCCAGCGTATAGCAAGGAAGCTTATTTATGTGTTACACAGTGCATTATTTGTAAATAAAGATCGTTCGTCTACCTCGTCGCACACAGAGTCGTCTATTTCACGCTAGGTACGTCTATAACGATTTACAGTTTTTGTCAAAACACTTGAGAGCTGGTCTCATCTCTTGACACTAAAATTTAGTACATGCCTATGAAGGAATTTAGGGACGTGGCTGATATACGTTTCTACTAAGATGTAGATTAACTTTAATCTTAGTTTAACTTACTTTTTACCTTCTCTAGTTTTAAGAATTAGAAAAAAGAGGAAGAGTAAATTAAATCAGGCTACAAAACTAAAATTAGGATAATCAAGGAAATTGAAAATAGGGAAAATTAGGAAAAAATCAGAGAAATTTTGCAAAATTTTCTGTTTCACGAAATTAAAATTATCGGTGTTAAAGAAGTTTAATATGCGTACGGAACACACCTATGGAATCTTGGAATATTATTAACTTATCAAATGCAAATAGTGTTAGTAGCATTAATAGTAATTTATGTTGCTATGAATTGCTCTCTTAAAAATATTTGATAGTTTTCAAATAAGGACATTGCAAAAAAAAATTTAAATATTATTGAAGCATTAGGAAAAAAATCACGAAATTTTGTCTGGGAATTAGGAAAAGTTATGGAACTTTAGGATAAGGAATTTGTGGCAATTCTGTAAACCGAGATTAAAGTTAAAATCTAAAAAGGTAGAAATGAGCTTGAAAGAGAAATTAAATTAAGTCTTTTCGCGCGGCAAAGATTTGTGCAATGAAGAGATATATGTTACGTATCAATTAATAGTTCAAGATTTTTAATGTTGATGCCTTAGGACCAGAGTCAATCTCAAAGTACTCAAATAAATACGTTGTATGCGCACTCTCCACTGTAAGATAATGCGATTTATAATGTAAAATGTTTCGGTCGGCCGAGAGAGGGGGAGAGAGAGAGAGAGAGAGAGAGAGAGAGAGAGAGAGAGAGAGAGAGAGAAATATATATATAAGTATTCTTCGTTCGTTCTCGTTTTCCTGCGGTTTGATTCAATCCGATCAAGTTATCCTAATCCGATCAAGTTATTCTTGCTGCGAAATGGAATGAAAGATATACGTAAAGCAAAAAGAAAAAAAAAATCGAAATTGCGAATGGCGATAATTAGCCAGAGGATTAATGACTTGACTTCTATTGTTGGTGTACAGTGCCGGTCGAGGAGTTTCAGTTCGCGAAGCTGCGCAAACGACGAATAAAGAGTAACGACAGCTCGTCGACGGAGAGCAACAACGATCAGAGTAACGCCGATACATCGTCCTGCACATCCGATACCGGTTGAAAGCCGGGCAGTAATGAGAGAAAGAGGGGGAGAGAGGATGAAAGAGAAACGCTTGTCATAATAATTGTTCCAAAGTCGGGCTCACGCACCGGCCGCTTTGAATGTTGCTCGGGAGCGATACGGGCTAATCAATCGGCCAATCGATCGATCGATCAGTAAGGCAATAAGGGAGTCGGGAGGCGCGGAGTCTCGAGGTCACGCACAGCCATATCTCGATGTTATTGTGCGAGCTGCGAGTTTGTGAGTACTGT